CTTAGATCGAACCCCTTTTTGGGTGGTATACTTCTTTTCCCTGCAGGCCGGGCCCCGGCAAGCGGCGGGGCGGCCGCGGACCGTCGGCCTGGCCAGCGGCAGCGCTGATCGGCGGGGCGGCCGCGGACCGTCGACCCGACCCCAAGAGGGACGGACAGGGGACCGACCACGTCGACGACGGCGGCGACGACGGCGACGTCGAAGGCGACGGCGACGGCGGCGACGACGGCGACGACGAGCGAAAGCGAGAGCGAGAGAGAACGACAGCAGGGCCACGAAGGGCACGAAGTAGGCCACGAAGGGCGACAGCGGGGACACGAAGGGAATGCGTATGGGGCCGCGAAGAGCGCGAACGAGCGGTGGCCACGAAGTGCAGATAATGCGGGGCCACAGAAGGCAACTAGGGGGCCACTGAGGGTAGCAACTGGGCCACGTCGGACAGTGAGGGGGGCACAAAAGGCGACAGCGGAGCCACGAACGGCATGCACATGGGGCCGCAGCGGGCGCGACTCTGGGTACCTGGGTGTCGGGAGCGCGGCGCTTGGGCAAATTGCAAATAATTCCAACGCAAGGCCATTCTTCGGGAAGTCCAAAGCAAATCTCCAGCGAGAGCGCCCAGAGCGCCAGGAGAGCGATTCCTTAATAGATTGTACGGAAGTTCCAAGCGAGAGCGCGACTCCTGAATAAAATGCGAAGAAGTCTCAGGCGGGAGCGGGGGTCCTGGCTAAATTGTAATCTCAGGCGGGGGCCGTTGTTGTTGTAACCAGGGGGCCAGGGGCCCAGTTTGAGCAGGAAGATTGCCCCCGTCAAAAAACAAGGTGTGAGCGTCGAGGGGCACACTTTGATAGAGAAAAAACCGTATGCACCGGTGGGAGAGGATCAACAATAATTCTTCTGTAGAACTGAGAATTCAACAACAACAACAACAACAGCAACAGCGACAACAGCAACAACAGCAACAGCAACAGCAACAGCAACAGCAACAGCAACAGCAACAGCAACAGCAACAGCAACAGCAACAGCAACAGCAACAGCAACAGCAACAGCAACAGCAACCACAACGACGACGACGACGACGACGACGACGACGACGACGACGACGACGACGACGACGACGACGACGACGACGACGACACCGACGACGACGACGACGACGACGACGACGACGACGACGAAGACGACGACAATATCCCAAACCCTCGATACTCGCCGTTTTCGTCTTCGATCGTATCCCCGTGGCGGAATATATTTCTTACCTGCAACGTGTACTTCTTGCAGCCTCTGAGGCAGGGTAAGGACGGACGCAGGGAAGGAAAAGACAGGAGGGGGGCACGTGGCAGAACCAGACGGGCAGATCACGAGGGTAGACCTTAACAGGCGGGTCGGAAGGCGGGCCCAAGCGGCCAGGTCGAGCAGGCGGGTTGCTGAAGCGTGCGCCATGCATTAATCGCGAAGAAACCTCGAGCGACAGCGCGATCCCCAATTAAATCGTGTGGGAATGAGCAACGACAGCGTGATTCCTGAGTGTCGAGGGCGCGGCGTCTGAATAAATTGCAAGGCCATCCTAGGCGAGAGCGCGATTCCTGCATAGATTGTCTGGAAGTCCAGCGCGAGAGCGCGATTTGGGAAGAAATTGAAAGGAAGTATCAGGCGGGAACCGTTGTTGTTGTAACTCGGGGGCCCTGGGCCCAGTTTGATACCCCCCGCTTTCCCTCCAAAAAAAATGGTGCGAGCCCCAGGATGGGCACTCCAAATGAACAACAACAACAACAACAACAACAACAACAACAACAACAACAACAACAACAACAACAATCATTTTACCCGAACGCTCAGTGTTCTCACCAGTGCCAGGGTTTTCATGCGACGCGAGACAATACCCCCACTTCGTGGGGGGGCAGTTCAAGCTCTACCAAATATCCAAAACGACTCTTCGCGACCACCCAAACCCAGCTTCCCGCCCTATGACGTTGGGACACTTCACTTCGTGGCGTGCGGACGACCGTGGCTACTACACTGGCGTGGGGTACACACCCACAGAACTTGGTCACTTATTCGGGGCGCGCGTGTGCCCAGCATCCTGCAATTGTGACATACAATACATGACACAGACAGACAGAGAGAGAGACAGAGAGCAGACAGAGAGAGAGACAGAGAGAGCGGAGTTGGTCACATTTTTGGGGCAAGTTCCTGAGATCGTCGTGTTTTTTGTTGGTCTTGCGCGCGCGAATGTCCACTTTACTTTTTTTTGCAAGGGATGTTGAAATTTGATTATGTAAGAACAAGAAAAAGTAGCTCGCGCGAGCTTATGTAACATAAATGTTGAAAAACCATTGGTTTTGTGGGAGTCGGACAGCGCGCGCGGGATGAAATTAGGACATTTTTTTTTGAAAAACCATTGGCTTTTTGATGTTTTTATGTTGAAATCGTTACGAAACCTAAGGTTCTGGAAGGATTTCGTCTTGCGCGCGCGAATGTCCACTTTACCTTATTTTTTGCAAGGGATTATTGAAATTTGATTATGTTAGAACAAGAAAAAGTAGCTCGCGCGAGCTCATGTAACATAAATGTTGAAAAACCATTGGTTTTGTGGGATTCGGACAGCGCGCGCGGAAGGACATTTGACAATTTTTTCTTAAAAAAACCATTGGGTTTTTGATGTTTTTATGTTAAAATCGCTACGAAACCTAAGGTTTTGGAAGGATTTCGTCTTGCGCGCACGAATGTCCACTTTACCTTATTTTTTGCAAGGGATTCTTGCAATTTGATCAAGTAAGAACAAGAATTTTCATTTAATTGTTTTTTCATTTTCATTTTATAGTGTTTTTTGCAAGGGACAGCGGGGGGGAACAAAACAACCGGATCTTGATCACATCGAATTACCTGAGGCTTCCTCACGAAAATGATGAAAATGTAGCTGCGGCCTAGGCGGCGCAGGGGGGGCGTGCACCAGGGGTCCCAACAATAATTATTCTTTAGAATTAATAATGTTCAACAACAATCATTTTACCCGAACGCGTGGTGTTCTCCCCAGTGCCAGGGTTTTCATACGACACCAGGCAATACCCCCACTTCGTGGGGGGCATTACAAGCTCTACCAAATATCCAAACGACTCTTCGCGACCACCCAAACCCAGCTTCCCGCCCTATGACGTTGGGACACTTCACTTCGTGGCGTGCGGACGACCGTGGCTACTACACTGGCGTGGGTACACACCCACAGAACCCAATGGTTTTTGGAGATTTCGGCGTGCGCGCGCGAAGAAAAAACGAATGTGTCCCGCATGGTATTATTTGACAGGGATGATGGCCCTGGCAGGTGCGCAACCGTTGTCGCAGAAGTTCGAAAAAGTTGCTCGCAAAAGCCCGTTTGACAGAAATGTTTAAAAAGTGTTGGGTTTCCTACGAATCCGCAAGAGCGCGCGGGATGAGATTTTGACATTTTTTTGTTGAAAAACCATTGGTTTTTTGATGTTTTTATGTTAAAATCGCTCCGAACACTAAGCTTTTGGAAGGATTTCGTCTTGCGCGCGCGAATGTCCACTTTACCTTATTTTTTACAAGGGATTCTTGAAATTTGATAATATTAGAACAAGAAATGTCATTTTATAGTGTTTTTTGCAAGGGAAAGCGGATTACAACAAAACAACCGGATCTTGATCACCTCGAATTACCTGAGGCTTCCTCACGAAAATGATGAAAACGTGGCTGCGGCCTAGGCGCGGCGGGGGGGGCGCGCACCAGGGGGCCCAACAATAATTATTCTTTAGAATTAATAATGTTCAACAACAACAACAACACAACAACAACAACAACAACAACAACAACAACAACAACAACAACAACAACAACAACAACAACAGGTGCCACCGACAAGGTGTTCCTGTCGGTCTACGCATGCACACCTGAAAACCGAGTGGTTGGTTTTCGCTTGACCCCGATGCTGATTGGGTGCTGACTCCCCGCCAGGTCCCGCGCCAGCCCCACGTCGGAGACCCAGCATCTCGGGGGATGCTTAACCGAGGGAGGTCTTTAGAATCCCCCCTCCAATAGTGGCAACTAATCCCATCAGCCCCCTGGGCGTAGGTAGTGTAACTCATTTTCTCTTCTCCCTGCCAGAACCCGTCCTTCCCATGCTCGGGGGAAGGGCTTACCCCCGGGTCTGGACGGGGCGCCCCGCGAGGGGTTGGAGCGCCTAGGATCGCCCAAGATGGCTCCAAGAGGGCCTCAGAGAGCGCAAGGTGGCCTCCAAGATGGCTCAAGCTACCTCAGGATAGCTCAAGGTAGCATCCACGAGGCCTCACCACGGCCCCAAGACGGTTTCAAGTGCCATCCGAGCCGTCGACTGACTCCACCAAGTAGGACATTCACTGTTGTGTTGCCTTCTTGCATTTTCGCTTCCGATGGACTCTTGAGGCCCGACGATGGCCCCCAGACGGCCCCAGAGAGCCTCCAGAGGGGCCCAAGAGGGCCCCAAGAGGGCCCCGAGAGCGCCCAAGAGCGCCCCAAGAGCGGCCCAAGAGGGCCTCAAGACGCCATTTGCGAGCCTCCCAGGGGGTGACCTGAATCCTCCCCCCTCTGTGTTTGATTCATGGGGGCCAAGATGGCCCCAAGAGGCCTCCCAGACCCCTCCAGGGAGTCGCGCGCAGCGGGCGCGCGCCCGAGGCCGCACTCGCACCCGAACAACCACCAACAACAGCAACGAGCAGCAAACACCCGAGAACATCCCGAGCAGCAGCTTGCAACGCGCGCATCGCCATCGCACTCTCGCGCCGCCCACTCTGAGACGGGCAACCGCTCCGGCCCGGACCGCGACGAGCGAGGCGCGGTAGTCTTCAGGCCCCCGCGAGAGCCCTGGCTGCCCATACACACACTCGAATCTGTACATCCATGTATAGATCGATCAAGCGCGGAATGAGCATCCATCCAGTGGGATCGAGGTAGAGCTTCATGGTGGCATCGTCGGGTGCCAGGAGATCAATCCATCTTTTGGTAGGGTAGTCGAGTCGATGGACACACAGTGAGACCGATTGGTAGGGAGGTCGATAGATACCGAGATATCGAGATCGCCAGACATATAGATCGCGATTTTCTCATGGTAGAAACAGAAGTGTTGTTTGCGCACACGGGCCGCTGCATGCTTCTTCCCAGTGTGAGAAGAGCTGAACATTGGTTGCCCTCATCCCGCGCATGTCATCATTCTAAGACTGCCTCTAAAGGACAGTGCGGTGAGCACATGCCTTCGAAGGCATCGATGCCTCAGTGTGATCATCCTCTCCAAGCAACCCTCCGACGGCAAACCCACTGCGCCCAAGGTGCTTGACGTAAAAGTTCAAGTACAAGGCGCCCTGCTCAGTGCGCCCATGGGCTACTTTGAGTTCAATGACCCCAAACTTTAACCACTGCGGATGCTCGTCGCGCGCACCCTCAGCTTGGAAACGGAGGCCTTCGGTTCCCTTCGCCTCCACCCACGCACCCGTGATATTCAGCTCGTGGAAGTACATGTCTGCGCACTGCCCTCCAAATTGACGCGCCTCAGCCTCTACGCGAAGCATTGCATTGTAACGCCTTCCACGGGGGACGTTAATCAGAACATGCTTTCCCGGTTTCATCAAGTCGAACCGCTGACCGAGAACGTTTTGAAGGTGGGGGTCGCCAGTAGCAGCCCACGCCTGCGCCAGCTCCACCCGCCAGGGGAGCTCCGGAAGGAAACGTCGGATGTGGCGTCGGCCAGCCCAGAGGATACGTCGGGCTGGGCGTCGGACTGGGCGTCGGGAACAGCGTCGGGAAGCCCGTTGGGAAGGGCGTCGGGAAGGCTGTCGGAAACGGCGTCGGGAAGGGCGTCGGGAAGGGGGTCGGGTAGGGCGTCGGGCTCGGCGTCGGGAAGGGGGTCGGGTTGGGCGTCGGGTTCGGCGTTGGGTTCGGCGTCGGGTAGGGCGTCGGGAAGGGGGTCGGGTAGGGCGTCGGGTAGGGCGTCGGGTAGGGCGTCGGGTAGGGCGTCGGGTTTGGCGTCGGATAGGGCGTCGGGTAGGGCGTCGGGTAGGGCGTCGGGCTGGGCGTCGCGGTGATCACAGCCAGGTTCGCGCCACTATCGACGTAGAGGCAGTGCCCGCCTCCCCACCCAACGTTGTAAGACAGCGCTACTTGACTGCCAGATGCCGAGGGCGCGGGCAATGTCCAGGTGAACGAAAACGCCGATCTGGAATGAGGTGCCACACCATAGTTATACGCCTCCGACCCCACCACAACGCGGATGTAGCCTTTGTAGCCCCCCCAGCCCTGGTCTCTCCAGTAGCCAGACATCTTGATCGCCACGATTGGCTCGGTAATTGTCGCCGAGGTCCACCAACTATTCCAACCGCAAGTGCAACAATGGCTGACTCCTCCAAGGGTGTAAGATAGGTAACCAGCTGAACGCTGCGCGGGCATGCCGCTCACTTCCTGCACTTCATGCACTTCCTTCATACTGTCACTCGTGCGCGAGGCGTTGTACGGGTCGCTGTCGCGATGGACGCCCTCGCTCACCATCATGGAAGCCGCGCCAGCTACACCCTGAACCAGCAGCGCCACGCACATGATCCATGGTGCAGTCCTGGTCGCCGCCATCCCAACTGCCTGAAGTCCGAGTGAGAGGAAACTGTCTAGGCAGGTCCAGTCTCAAAAGCTGTGTGTGTGTACGCACGTGCAGAGCGACAGTAATGCGTCGAAGTTGAGCCAACACATCGATCGCGAGAATGTTCCGACGCCAATCGCAAGCTGAAAGATGCACCCCCCCCATCCCCAAGAACAACAACAACAACAACAACAACAACAACAACAACAACAACAACAAACAGGTGCCACCGACAAGGTGTTCCTGTCGGTCTACGCATGCACACCTGAAAACCGAGTGGTTGGTTTTCGCTTGACCCCGATGCTCATTGGGTGCTGACTCCCCGCCAGGTCCCGCGCCAGCCCCACGTCGGAGACCCAGCATCTCGGGGGATGCTTAACCGAGGGAGGTCTTTAGAATCCCCCCTCCAATAGTGGCAACTAATCCCATCAGCCCCCTGGGCGTAGGTGGTGTAACTCATTTTCTCTTCTCCCTGCCAGAACCCGTCCTTCCCATGCTCGGGGGAAGGGCTTACCCCCGGGTCTGGACGGGGCGCCCCGCGAGGGGTTGGAGCGCCCAGGATCGCCCAAGATGGCTCCAAGAGGGCCTCAGAGAGCGCAAGGTGGCCTCCAAGATGGCTCAAGCTACCTCAGGATAGCTCAAGGTAGCATCCACGAGGCCTCACCACGACCCCAAGACGGTTTCAAGTGCCATCCGAGCCGTCGACTGACTCCACCAAGTAGGACATTCACTGTTGTGTTGCCTTCTTGCATTTTCGCTTCCGATGGACTCTTGAGGCCCGACGATGGCCCCCAGACGGCCCCAGAGAGCCTCCAGAGGGGCCCAAGAGGGCCCCAAGAGGGCCCCGAGAGCGCCCAAGAGCGCCCCAAGAGCGGCCCAAGAGGGCCTCAAGACGCCATTTGCGAGCCTCCCAGGGGGTGACCTGAATCCTCCCCCCTCTGTGTTTGATTCATGGGGGCCAAGATGGCCCCAAGAGGCCTCCCAGACCCCTCCAGGGAGTCGCGCGCAGCGGGCGCGCGCCCGAGGCCGCACTCGCACCCGAACAACCACCAACAACAGCAACGAGCAGCAAACACCCGAGAACATCCCGAGCAGCAGCTTGCAACGCGCGCATCGCCATCGCACTCTCGCGCCGCCCACTCTGAGACGGGCAACCGCTCCGGCCTGGACCGCGACGAGCGAGGCGCGGTAGTCTTCAGGCCCCCGCGAGAGCCCTGGCTGCCCATACACACACTCGAATCTGTACATCCATGTATAGATCGATCAAGCGCGGAATGAGCATCCATCCAGTGGGATCGAGGTAGAGCTTCATGGTGGCATCGTCGGGTGCCAGGAGATCAATCCATCTTTTGGTAGGGTAGTCGAGTCGATGGACACACAGTGAGACCGATTGGTAGGGAGGTCGATAGATACCGAGATATCGAGATCGCCAGACATATAGATCGCGATTTTCTCATGGTAGAAACAGAAGTGTTGTTTGCGCACACGGGCCGCTGCATGCTTCTTCCCAGTGTGAGAAGAGCTGAACATTGGTTGCCCTCATCCCGCGCATGTCATCATTCTAAGACTGCCTCTAAAGGACAGTGCGGTGAGCACATGCCTTCGAAGGCATCGATGCCTCAGTGTGATCATCCTCTCCAAGCAACCCTCCGACGGCAAACCCACTGCGCCCAAGGTGCTTGACGTAAAAGTTCAAGTACAAGGCGCCCTGCTCAGTGCGCCCATGGGCTACTTTGAGTTCAATGACCCCAAACTTTAACCACTGCGGATGCTCGTCGCGCGCACCCTCAGCTTGGAAACGGAGGCCTTCGGTTCCCTTCGCCTCCACCCACGCACCCGTGATATTCAGCTCGTGGAAGTACATGTCTGCGCACTGCCCTCCAAATTGACGCGCCTCAGCCTCTACGCGAAGCATTGCATTGTAACGCCTTCCACGGGGGACGTTAATCAGAACATGCTTTCCCGGTTTCATCAAGTCGAACCGCTGACCAAGAACGTTTTGAAGGTGGGGGTCGCCAGTAGCAGCCACGCCTGCGCCAGCTCCACCCGCCACGGGAGCTCCGGAAGGAAACGTCGGATGTGGCGTCGGCCAGCCCAGAAGATACGTCGGGCTGGGCGTCGGACTGGGCGTCGGGAACAGCGTCGGGAAGCCCGTTGGGAAGGGCGTCGGAAAGGCTGTTGGAAACGGCGTCGGGAAGGGCGTCGGGAAGGGGGTCGGGTAGGGCGTCGGGCTCGGCGTCGGGAAGGGCGTCGGGTTCGGCGTCGGGTTCGGCGTCGGGTAGGGCGTCGGGTAGGGCGTCGGGTAGGGCGTCGGGTAGGGCGTCGGGTAGGGCGTCGGGTAGGCGTCGGGTCGTCGGTAGGGCGTCGGGTAGGGCGTCGGGCTGGGCGTCGCGGTGATCACAGCCAGGTTCGCGCCATTATCGACGTAGAGACAGTGCCCGCCTCCCCACCCAACGTTGTAAGACAGCGCTACTTGACTGCCAGATGCCGAGGGCGCGGGCAATGTCCAGGTGAACGAAAACGCCGATCTGGAATGAGGTGCCACACCATAGTTATACGCCTCCGACCCCACCACAACGCGGATGTAGCCTTTGTAGCCCCCCCAGCCCTGGTCTCTCCAGTAGCCAGACATCTTGATCGCCACGATTGGCTCGGTAATTGTCGCCGAGGTCCACCAACTATTCCAACCGCAAGTGCAACAATGGCTGACTCCTCCAAGGGTGTAAGATAGGTAACCAGCTGAACGCTGCGCGGGCATGCCGCTCACTTCCTGCACTTCATGCACTTCCTTCATACTGTCACTCGTGCGCGAGGCGTTGTACGGGTCGCTGTCGCGATGGACGCCCTCGCTCACCATCATGGAAGCCGCGCCAGCTACACCCTGAACCAGCAGCGCCACGCACATGATCCATGGTGCAGTCCTGGTCGCCGCCATCCCAACTGCCTGAAGTCCGAGTGAGAGGAAACTGTCTAGGCAGGTCCAGTCTCAAAAGCTGTGTGTGTATGCACGTGCAGAGCGACAGTAATGCGTCGAAGTTGAACCAACACATCGATCGCGAGAATGTTCCGACGCCAATCGCAAGCTGAAAGATGCACCCCCCCCATCCCCAAGAACAACAACAACAACAACAACAACAACAACAACAACAACAACAACAAACAGGTGCCACCGACAAGGTGTTCCTGTCGGTCTACGCATGCACACCTGAAAACCGAGTGGTTGGTTTTCGCTTGACCCCGATGCTGATTGGGTGCTGACTCCCCGCCAGGTCCCGCGCCAGCCCCACGTCGGAGACCCAGCATCTCGGGGGATGCTTAACCGAGGGAGGTCTTTAGAATCCCCCCTCCAATAGTGGCAACTAATCCCATCAGCCCCCTGGGCGTAGGTGGTGTAACTCATTTTCTCTTCTCCCTGCCAGAACCCGTCCTTCCCATGCTCGGGGGAAGGGCTTACCCCCGGGTCTGGACGGGGCGCCCCGCGAGGGGTTGGAGCGCCTAGGATCGCCCAAGATGGCTCCAAGAGGGCCTCAGAGAGCGCAAGGTGGCCTCCAAGATGGCTCAAGCTACCTCAGGATAGCTCAAGGTAGCATCCACGAGGCCTCACCACGGCCCCAAGACGGTTTCAAGTGCCATCCGAGCCGTCGACTGACTCCACCAAGTAGGACATTCACTGTTGTGTTGCCTTCTTGCATTTTCGCTTCCGATGGACTCTTGAGGCCCGACGATGGCCCCCAGACGGCTCCAGAGAGCCTCCAGAGGGGCCCAAGAGGGCCCCAAGAGGGCCCCGAGAGCGCCCAAGAGCGCCCCAAGAGCGACCCAAGAGGGCCTCAAGACGCCATTTGCGAGCCTCCCAGGGGGTGACCTGAATCCTCCCCCCTCTGTGTTTGATTCATGGGGGCCAAGATGGCCCCAAGAGGCCTCCCAGACCCCTCCAGGGAGTCGCGCGCAGCGGGCGCGCGCCCGAGGCCGCACTCGCACCCGAACAACCACCAACAACAGCAACGAGCAGCAAACACCCGAGAACATCCCGAACAGCAGCTTGCAACGCGCGCATCGCCATCGCACTCTCGCGCCGCCCACTCTGAGACGGGCAACCGCTCCGGCCCGGACCGCGACGAGCGAGGCGCGGTAGTCTTCAGGCCCCCGCGAGAGCCCTGGCTGCCCATACACACACTCGAATATGTACATCCATGTATAGATCGATCAAGCGCGGAATGAGCATCCATCCAGTGGGATCGAGGTAGAGCTTCATGGTGGCATCGTCGGGTGCCAGGAGATCAATCCATCTTTTGGTAGGGTAGTCGAGTCGATGGACACACAGTGAGACCGACAGGTAGGGAGGTCGATAGATACCGAGATATCGAGATCGCCAGACATATAGATCGCGATTTTCTCATGGTAGAAACAAAAGTGTTGTTTGCGCCCACGGGCCGCTGCATGCTTCTTCCCAGTGTGAGAAGAGCTGAACATTGGTTGCCCTCATCCCGCGCATGTCATCATTCTAAGACTGCCTCTAAAGGACAGTGCGGTGAGCACATGCCTTCGAAGGCATCGATGCCTCAGTGTGATCATCCTCTCCAAGGAACCCTCCGACGGCAAACCCACTGCGCCCAAGGTGCTTGACGTAAAAGTTCAAGTACAAGGCGCCCTGCTCAGTGCGCCCATGGGCTACTTTGAGTTCAATGACCCCAAACTTTAACCACTGCGGATGCTCGTCGCGCGCACCCTCAGCTTGGAAACGGAGACCTTCGGTTCCCTTCGCCTCCACCCACGCACCCGTGATATTCAGCTCGTGGAAGTACATGTCTGCGCACTGCCCTCCAAATTGACGCGCCTCAGCCTCTACGCGAAGCATTGCATTGTAACGCCTTCCACGGGGGACGCTAATCAGAACATGCTTTCCCGGTTTCATCAAGTCGAACCGCTGACCAAGAACGTTTTGAAGGTGGGGGTCGCCAGTAGCAGCCACGCCTGCGCCAGCTCCACCCGCCACGGGAGCTCCGGAAGGAAACGTCGGATGTGGCGTCGGCCAGCCCAGAGGATACGTCGGGCTGGGCGTCGGACTGGGCGTCGGGAACAGCGTCGGGAAGCCCGTTGGAAAGGGCGTCGGGAAGGCTGTCGGAAACGGCGTCGGGAAGGGCGTCGGGAA